GCTGTACCTATAAAAACATGTTCAACATCACTAATTATCAGGGAAATGCAAGTAAGAACCACATTGAGATATCACCTCACACCTGTTAGAATAGCTATTATCAAAAAAAGAACAAGTGCTGGAGAGGATGTGGAGAAAGGGAACCTTCGTGCACTGTTGGTAGGAACATAAATTGGTGCAGTCATGTGGAAAACAACATGGAGGTTCCTATAAAGTAGAATTACCATGTGATCCAGCTATGCCACTTCTTGGTATTTATCTGAAGAAAATGAAAACACTAATTCAAAAAGATATAGGCACCCCTATATTCATTGCAGCATTATTTACAATAGCTGAGAATGGAAACAACCTAAGTGTCCATGGATGGATGAATGGATAAACAAGTTATGGTATATATATTATATATATACACACAATACTATTCAGCCATAAAAACGAAGGAAATCTTGCCATGTGCAACAACATGAGTGGACCTTGAAGGTATTATGCTAAGTGAAATAAGACAGAGAAACACAAATGCCATGCATGGGATCTCACTTATATTTGGAATCTAAAAAACAAAAAAGAAACAAAACAAAACTCATAGATACAGATAATAGATTGGTGCTTATAGAGGGGGGAAGAGGGCCTGGGGGCAAAAGGGCTGAAGGGGGTCAATTGCATGGTGACAGATGGTAACTAGATTAATTGTGGTGATCACCTTGTAGTATATACAAAGACTGAATTATTATGTTGTACACCTGAAATTAATATAATGTTATATACCAATCTTACATCAGTAAATATATATATTAATTCATAAGGTTTAAAATTAAATGTGCTTTCTCTTAGATTAATACTATCCTTTTTTTCTTTGTCAAGTAGAAGTAAATTGCTTGGTTCAGTACAATCCAGGCCCATCTGAGTGGCTTTTTGTTGTTTTTCAGAAATGGGAGAGATTGAGAATTGGAAAAGCATTCATCATCAGGATAATTTGTTTTAAAAGCATCCAGGCTTCCATATAGCCACTAGATAAATTACCCACTATTCAAGAGAAGGAAAGCACAATTAGTTTCACATTATAGTAAACCAATCAGCTCCTTAAATGGCTGTCATTCTTGAGAAAAAGGCAACAAGAATGTCATAGTTGTCCCCTTTCTCCCATGCCTTTAGAAGCAAAAGCAATACTTTTCTCAGACTGGAAGATCTGTGGAAAGCATTGTGAATATATTTTGCCATTGCTTTTAGATAAGAAGCATTATATTCATTACTTGTATCCATATGGTTAATAACACCTACTTCACAATGCAAAGTTAATGAAGCTTTTGTTTTGTACTAGGGACAGGCAAATGCTTTGAAGCCTTATGGCAAGGAAGTAGACTTCAATAAATTATTTTCAAACCTTTTCTTCTTCCCAGGATAATTATTTTTATGTAATCATTTACAATCAAGGAGCAAAGGAAGGGGTAAAGAGAAATCATACCAGGGGTAATGGAATATGCACGAAAAATCTGCAGGCTGTTTTTCTCTTCTTAAAAAGAATACTTGCTAAACAACCATTCATTACCTCTTTTGAGGCAAGCAGGATGGTGTAAGAATATACTAAATTAATGTCATCTGCCATGACTTAACCTGAAGAAACACAATAATTAGTAAACTTTACATACACAGCTGCTGCAGCAGTTTAAGCATGTTCCATCTGTCATAAGAGCGATTGATGAAGGCCTTGCAGGAAAGAGGGCGACTGCAATCATATAGAGAGCTTTAGTTCCTCCCTGCACACAAGTGTTATCAATCCAAACCCAAACCTACTATGCCTTATGTTCACATGTCAGTATCATTCTACAGGTTAAATTTAATTGTATTTATTAAGGTTTTCATTTTCACATTGGAATAGATCCATTTTGGTACCTGCATACAGGGAATGTATAAAACTTCCTTTATACCACACAACACAGGGCAGGCCTGCTTTGAACCATGAGTTCAAAACTTTGTGCTTTAAAGACTAATTGTACATGAACACTTCTTGCATGAAGAACATACTTGAATAACATTTTCATTTTTAGAAATACATGTATGTGTGACCAGTAAGCATATGGTACAGACTGGGTGAGGAAGAAGAGGGGGAGGAGGAAAGGAAATAGGGAGTGGGGGAGAGAAGCAAAAGTGAGAGAGAGAGAGAGAGAGAGAGAATATCACAGTATCAAAATGTACTTAGGCCTTAAAGTTTCTTTTCTAAGGATGTAAGTTTTAAATGCTTTTGACTGAAAAATAGACTACTTAGGGTATATATTTTGTTTATTTTTAGTTGTTTGGTGAAAGTTTCAAAATCAAAATTATTAGGCATTTATTATTAAGATTAAATATACGAGCTTACAAAGTACCGAATCCTCTGAAAAATGGTTGTCCCAGACCGCTTAATTAAATAGCATTCAAACATTGTAAATGGCATTTGTGAATTTAATATATTTTATATTGTGTTTTTAAGTAATTCATTTGTCTAGTCCGACAAAATCTTTCTGAGAATGAAATAATTCTTAAAATCTAATGAATTCAATGTATCAACATGGTCTAAGGTTTTCTTAGACTTTCCAATATCGTGCACAAACATAAGATTTGGTCATAAGATTTCAAATCATAAAACTGAAATCCTGTGTCTCAATCTACTTTTTAATGGCATTTTCTAAACTGATATCACAGGACTGTCAGACTAATAGGCTAAATTCTCTCATGTAACACAGATATTTATAATAACAAATGTTCAAATACTTTTTCTTAACACAAAAATATTAGTAGTATGATTTCTAGTCCTGCAAATTCTGTATCTTCCTAGAATTAAGATATGTACTCACTAAGGAAGAAGACATCCCAGTTAACTGAAATTACTTAGATGTATATGTTTTTGAGTGTGACAAATGCATATCCATGAAGGAAGAAAAAGTACCATCCTAGATCACTGATACCTTTCAACCAGGGATCTTGGCCAGGTGACATCTGGAGCTACAGATATCCAGAGTGATTCTCACCACCCGAACTGCCATACTCGGTCTTTTTCATAATCACTATTTCATGGGCTTCAAAACTCTAATAAATGGTCATGTTACATAATCATCCGGCTATTCACAGGAGTCAGCAACTGTTGAGAAAAGCAGCCTGTGCATCCATGCAGTCTTTCAACACCCACTTAGTCACTTAAGAACAGGCCTTGGGCCTGCAATACTTCCTTACCAAGAAACAAAGAGCCCACAAAGCCTGTCAGTTTCATCAGCTACATGGAAAATACCTTTCCGGGTTCAGACTAGAGGAGTCTCTCCTTGTTCCACTTAAATGTGTATGTTAATGATTGTCAGACACACCTTTCAGTATTTCAGCCTCCATGGAGCAGAGTTCAGGGTCCTACTACTGCCGCAAGAGAGGGTTATACATAGGCCAATTGCCCTGCATCTGCTGCCTCAGGGACTCACTAGCCATGAGGGACCAAGGCACATGACTGGAGCTGTAAAGCGCTGTTTTCATCCAATGCTGACTGTGCTTTGTTTTCCTTGACAACTCTAATACCAAAATACAATGGACAAAAACATTTGGAGACCTTTCCTGGGATTGATAACCAGTGGTAGATGGTATTGCTCCCCCCGAGACTGATAACTGATGCACGATGTTTTTCTCAACAGCAGTTCTCATCCAAATGGATACCTCGATTTGCCTGTCTTTGATTCTTAAAACATATACACAGATTTTCCATCTAACTGAAAAAACTTTGAAGTTGATGAGATAATAGGTGTAATTATATTTTCTATCTAAATATAAACCTTGTGCTTGATAGGATCCTAAGATAAATACATGCTTTTTCCCACTACTGAAATCTTGTGTTATTTTATCCTCATATTCATATTCAATTTCTTTGGGTTTTTTTTAAGATTTTATTTATTTATTTTGACAGAGAGAGAGAGCGAGAGAGGGAACACAAACAGGGGGAGTAGGAGAGGGAGAAGCAGGCTTCCTGCGGAGCAGGGAGCCTGACGCAGGGCTCGATCCCAGGACCCCGGGATCATGACCCGAGCGGAAGGCAGACGCTTAATGACTGAGCCACCCAGGGGCCCCTCATATTCAATTTCTTAATTCAATGCTTCTACCAATTGAATTTTGGCTCTTATATTGTGTTTCTGGCTTGTGGTCACACCATGAGTCTTTCACTGCCCTTCTTGCATCTAGCTTTTTTTTTTTTTTAAGATTTTAATTATTTATTTTAGAAAGAGAGAGTACATGCATGCACGCAGGAGGGGGAGGGGGACAGAGGGAGCAGACTCCTCCCCGAAGCAGGGAGCCCAATGTGGGGCTCAATCCCAGGACCCTGAGATCATGACCTGAGTCAAAAACAGCTGCTTACCCAACTGAGCCACCCAGGTGCCCCACATTTAGCTTTCTTCTTTTACAACCAAGGTTATGTAACTCAGACCAGAGATCTGTATTGCTTTTTCTCCTATCCCAGGGGAATAAGGCTTAGGACTGCACTGTTCAAAGCCTCTTTTTTTTTTATTGTTTTGTTAATCACCATACATTACATCATTAGTTTTTGATGTAGTGTTCCATGATTCATTGTTTGCGTATAACACACAGTGTTCCAAAGCCTCTTAGAGGGGAAAAGTATCCCATGGTCACTCTTCTGAGGAGCCACAAAAATTCAAAAGCAACCCAAATCTCTTTCCCTAGCCTAGAACTTCAATTGTTTCCCCTCTGACTTGGTCAAGAGCTCTGGTTGAAAGATAATTGCTGATCTCAGGCAAGAAGTGGACTAGACTTTTAAAAATTATAGCATACTGTAAGTGTAAATAATTTTAGCATTGTCAACAACAAGGATCTAAGAACCTAAAGTTCTCAAAACTATTTTTCCTAAAGATCTAGTTCTTTAATCATCTCCTGATTCAGCCTGAAAATCTAACTTAAATCCAACTTACATATATGCATGCTATCAACAATGAAACCTAAATCTCAATATTTAAAAATTTTTTTTCTTTTCTCAGTTTCTACAGATAAAGTGATCTGAAGTAATGAATGATGCCACAAAAGCAGAAGAGAGAAACTGTGACAACACCCAGAAATGTGAAAGGAGGTTTCTTACTGGATAGCAGCATCTTTGGTTCAATTTATTAAAAAAAATACCCAAATAAATAAAATGGACAGTATTGTTCAATTTTAGAAATTCCATTTCTTCTATGTTCTAAGCTATATAATTGTCAGGTTTTTATGGTTTAGATTGTAAATGTGTTTTCCCCTTTGCTAATTATGTTGTGTTTTTTTAAGTCTTAAAAGTCTTAAAATGTGAAGGACATTTATGAACGGTAAGGGAGACACTGTATACAAATGTATATTTGTAAAAGCTATTTTTATGATTAGCATGTTTTACTGTTGATCATATATAAAGTCAGGTGATATTGCAATTCTATGTTTAAAGCTTATTTCCAACAATGTCATGTAAGAAAAGATACATCGTAAGCTAGTTTTTATAATTTATTTTAATTTATAGTTTAAAGTACTTCAGATCATAATGATAAAATACTTGAAAATGTTATATTTCTGCCCTTCATAAGCACCATTTTTATTAATAAAGAATGCAAATATTTCAGATGTGATTCCATAGCTAAAGGACTCTGTTGCTTTGACCTGTGATTAAATTGAGCATTCTCTACTCAACTGAAACAATCCAATTATTACCCAATACTTCAGTCTGGGTAGGAGATCCCATGGACAGGTTTTAGTGTCAATACAGGTGAAAACTATATTGGCAAGGAAAAGATTGTCTTATCTTTGGTTCCAAAAGTTTAAATAGTGCGTATATCACTTCATTTCGTCTCCTATTACTAGGAACACTCCATTCCCAAGCATTGCAAGTGTTTTCCAGATGCTCTTTGCTGTTGTCTTGTGCTGTGGAAATGGAAGAAACCATCTTCCACAGACTGTAGGAGAACTCAGCATATAATTTCTTAATAAATACTGTTTCTTTTAAAACAAAGTTGGCGTGTATCTTTCCTTTGAGGGTGCACTTAGTTTTAATATTCAGTTTGACTCTTTATGTCCTTGTAATGCCACAAAATTAGTGTGATAATGAAAGTAGCATAACTTTACTAAAATGTATATGTTTTATATGCCCACACTTTTCATGTATTCCGGAACACATTAATTTGCTATGTAACACAAAGCAAGATGGCCCTCAATTCTTGACAGAAGTCACATTCTGGTATACACTTCTAAAAGGCGTATTTTTTCATTCAAATGTAGAATTTTAAGGAAATATTTCAGGACAGAAAGCAGAACTACCTTGACAGAGGCATTTTTGCTCTGTCAGACAAGTCTGCTGCTAATGGCTACAAGCCCCTCATTAAGAGCAGAGAGACACATGTAATGTCATCAAGAATACTTAGTGGAATTAAGGCCTCCTTTTTTCAAAGAAACTAAAGAGAATCTAAAATCACTTTGGTATGTTTTCTTATTTTTCTGTTTTAATTTCTTTATGGCAGTTCATCCTCTTTCTTTATGCGTATCAAATGGGCGCCTGGGTGGCTCAGTCGTTAAGCGGCTGCCTTCGGCTCAGGTCATGATCCCAGAGTCCTGGGATCGAGCCCCACATCGGGCTCCCTGTTCAGCGGGAAGCCTGCTTCTCCCTCTCCCACTCCCCCTGCTTGTGTTCCCGCTCTCACTGTCTCTGTCAAATAAATAAATAAAATCTTTTTAAAAAAGAAAATAAAAAAAATAAAAGCTCATGAAAAATTATACAATTCCATCCAGCAAAGGTTACCTAAAACTAAAATTGTGAAAGCAAAAATTAAAAATTTGCACACTAGGACCTACGGGCTGGATCAGGAATGTACTTGCCTTTTGAGGAAATGTGAAAATCACAATGTGGTATACTATTTTTCATGGCCATGATGAGTATTGGAGAATTTGCAATTGCTGTGATTGAATTGTGAAGCTGAAAAGAAGCTGTATACGGTTCTACAAGGGAATAAAATCAGCAGAGTGATTTCTTGGTTTGCTGCCAAATAAATACATTTCCCTAGGATAGTCTGATGCCCCAGAAAGAAAATGTTACAGGTACAGTGTATTAGGAAAATGCACATGTGGATATTTTTCCCAACCTTCCATTTATCTGTCCTTAATATTCAATAAACAGTGTAGAATTTATAGCAGACATTATCATAAATTAAGAGTATCATACTTTCCCAGATGTTCATTAACTATTCTCAAAGTAAAATGAATAATTAAAATGTATAATTCTTTGTTATTGGACTTAATTTTCTCCACACAGGCCTGGCAGTATGTAATCATGCATCTTTCCCTTAATTCATTACCCGATCCTGGCTTCAGATTTTATTTTAATGACAAAGATGGAGTAAAATATATACCAGATCAGCAAACTATAGATTATATGGGATTATAATCCCTGTGGATTTAGTGTAATAATTTAAAAGGGAACTTTTAAGAGATGACGAAGGTAGTGTAGACTTCTAACTCCAAATAACATCAGTTCCATTAAAAAAGAAATGCCAAGGGAAAGAAAAGAGTTATTACTCACTGAATTCAACTCAATAAAAATGTGGGAAAAGAGGCCCACTGCTTGTAAGTTAGGTCAACTAGTCACTGGTGACAATGTGGAAGGGAAAGTACACATTTTGCTTCCATCTTTTAAACAAAAATTCAAAGCAGAAACACATGACAAAATAAATTGACATAGAAATGAAGCAGGAGATAAATAAGAAGGAAACTATTTTAAATGGGTTAAAGTGCAGAGAACAGAAATTACAAATGCAAACACCTATAGAGGCCTGATAAATATAAATGAAAGAAATAGTCATGAAGCCGCTTAGTAGACTTTAAATACAACTATGCCGATGAGGATGGGCCCCCTCCCAGTTCCAACTGGCTGCCTGATCCAGAAATGTGGCCAATCTGAAAGATTGCCCAGGTGTCCTGATTTTTCAAGAGAAGGTAGACATCAAGAATTTTAAATGAAATAGAATTTTAAATAGAATTTTAATTCTATTTTTGTTTTGTTTTAATATGAATCTGAAAGTGAAGGAAACCATATCTGTGATTTATATCCAGTATTTAGTAGTTGTAAAAGTTAAAAAAAATAAACTCGCAATAATGAAAAACAACAAATTCAGGATTACCTATGGTGAGAAAAAGAAGGGACAATAGAATGGAAGTATTGAATAACATATGTAATAATAGATCTATTAGTAAATCTATTTGAATCAAATATTTGGAATCAAACATATCAAATGTTAAGGTTTGATAAAAGTCAGTTCTAAGTTACACTGGTGCTCATTATATTTTTTCTATGTTGTGTTTGGGGCCTTCTAATATTTGCAGAGGAGGAATTTATAAGTGAATTTCCTATTTGTTATTGAAAAGGCTTCCTATCAGCCCTTGAGATATTTAGAGTCACTCTAGGAATCTAATTATGATTCATGCAAGAATTTGGGGTACCTGAGCATGCCAAATAGTCCCTATGTTTATCTGGTTGCTTCTGTAAGAATAAAGACTATACCTTCTCTACTTTTATATCCTGCATCTATGTTACCTTGTACATAACAGGTTATTTCTCCATAAATTTTTGGAGAATTAAAAGAAACAGGGTGTGTTCTAGGTTTTTAACCTTATTATAAAAAGTTTCAAAGCTATAATTTGCTAAACAACTACTGTGTGCCGAGCTAACAGCTTTCTTTTTTTTTCTTTTTATTTTTTTTATTCTTATGTTAATCCCCATACATTACATCAACAGCTTTCTATGCACTATCATGATGCACACAGGAAAACTGCAGGATAGGTATTGTTAGCTCCAGTTTCCAAGTAAAGAGAGCAGATCATTTATTCATTCAACCATTTTTTATTAAGTACCAACTCCATGCCAAGCATTGTTACTGGCAATATGGGGTCCAGCTATAAATAATAAAGACTAAAATGTCTGTTCTTGAAAAGCTAATACTCGGACACCTGGGTGGCTCAGATGGTTAAGCGTCTGCCTTCGGCTCAAGTCATGATCCCAGGGTCCTGGGATCGAGTCCCACATCGGGCTCCCTGCTCAGCAGGGAGCCTGCTTCCCCCTCTGCCTCTCTCTCTCTCTCTCTGTCTCTTATGAATAAATAAATAAAATCTTTAAAAAAGAAAAGAAAAGCTAATACTCTTCTAGCGGATGACACAAAATAAGACTATTAACAAGCAAATGTAAAGTATGGCAGAAGATAATAATGATGAACACAGAGGAAAAAGCAAAGCAGGGAAGCAAAGAGGGAGGTGAGGTTTTACATGGGTATTTTAAATAGGCTGATCAGGGAAGACTCCTTGGTAATATGGCATTCAGGCAAAGTGGAGTAGGTAAGGGGGTGAGCCATGTGGCCATTTATGGGAAAAGTGTCCTGAGCAGAGGGGACAGCAAGTAAATCCCCTGAGGTGGGAATGTACTTGGTGTGTTCAGGAACAACAAGGAGGGCAGTGTAGCTGGATTGGAATAAATTAAGAAAAGAAAAATAAATGAGGGCACAGAAAAGCCAAGATTTCAGATCACAGAGCCTTAGAGGTGATTCAGAGTTCACTGGTTTTACGCTGTGTTAGATGGGAAAACATCAGAAGATTGTGAGCACAGGAATGATAGGATCTAACAAAGATTAAAAGAATCATTTGGGCTGTTAAGTCCTGAATAGACTATAAAGAAGAGAATCCAAAAATCCCTGCATTCTAGGTTGAGATACAACTATGTGAGTTTGGTCTGAGACTAGACTGAGAGAAAACTGCTCATTCACTCATCAAATATTTGTTGAGCCCTTACCATATTCCACATGTGTATTTGGCAATGGGCATGCAGTAGTGAACATAGACACATTTTCTTTTCTCAAGGCCCTTAGTCTACTAAACAATGTTAGGAAATAGTTGAATAAAGATGGTAAGATTAAAATAGTTTAAAAAGATATTGCAAATTAAAAAGAACACCCCCTGCCTAAGTCCTTTTCCTTACATTTTATGAAACTACTATGACTCTCATATAAAAACTTGACCAAAAAAATAACACCCAAAAGCTAAATACGGATAACTCATTAATATAGATGTAAAAATCTGAAATAAATAAAAATACTAGCTAAAAATTTCAACAAAATATAAAATATCCCCCATGACCAAGTAGGGTTTTATGACAAAAATTTACATACACACACATACACACTTGTGCATGTACACACATGCAAATATACACATATAAATATGCATCTTAAAACAACATTCTACTTCATACTGAAATATATTACAATTGAACTTGCATTGAAAATAAGAATACTATTTAAATTAATATTTCTAATTCATTCTGTAAGAGAGAACTAGGACAATAAAGAAGAAACAGTAATGAATAGTGTGACCATTAGAAAGGATGAGAACATTTTTTTGTTTGGATAGAATGTGCTTATCAACCTTCATGGCCCAAGAAAGTAGGAAGAAACCCCACCAAGTTTAATTATGAGTTTTAAAAAAATTTAAATATCCAACAAAAGTAAAATCTTACATAGCTTTGTAATTCACAAATAATAACTGTGGAAATATAATGAAAAACTTCTATTTCATAACGTTAAAATACTTGGGAATAAAACTGATAAGAAATGTACAAAGCTACATAGCACACACCACAAAATTTTATTCACAGAATAAAAGGTATGAATATATGAATAGATATAAGATGTTCCTAGATGGTAAGTTTGAAGTTATAAATAAACCAATTCATTATACATTAATTCAATATACATTTTTC